CAATTTGGGAATTTTGGTTAAAGATGGTCAAATTGGCCAAATTGGGTCATGTGGTAGTTGAAAGAAATAAAATTGGGAATATTTGGGATTTATTGGAATTTTTTGAGAATTTTAGAATTTTTAAAATTTGGGTTAAAGGAGGGTCCCAAGGGCAGTTAGGTAATTTGGGGGTGTCTGGGGCAAAAGACCCAAGATTAGCATTTCAAGTAGAATTGAATAGATATCCATTCTAAATGAACCATGAATCAATAAAATCCCCATTTTGGGTCCACATATATTGGTCTTAGCTAGGGTATTGTGAGGATATTGTGTACCTTAACTCCAAACCAACACCCAGGGTCAATCCTAAGCCCAAGTAGTCCTATAGGAACCCCTCTTAAGTTCTCTTATAATGATCTTACCTACTAAGTGCTAGATGTTAAGATCAATATGTGGAACTTCAAGTTGAGTAAAGAGAAGAGTTTTTTTTTTTGAATTTCTAATGGTGAGGGTACCTTTTCTAGTTTTCTAAGACTAGTCAGTAGGAAAATCCTATGGCTAGACCTAGGCTACTAAAGAAGTTTTCTAGAACTCAACCAAAGTAAGGTCAACAGGTAATCTTAAGGCCTAAAGGTCCTATAAGGACTCCTTTTGAGTTCTCTCATGTTAGTTTCAGCCTTCGGCGTGCTAGAGGTCAAGAACCACATGCAAAACTTCAAAAGAGTATAGAAGCAGTTTAAATTTCTAAAATGAGGTCGGTCCCATTTCTAAGGCTCTAAGATAATCGAAGGGAGAATCCTAAGGCTAGACCCTAAATCCTTAGAAGAAACTAGACCTCACTAAAAATAAGGACAATAAAGAGAGAATTCTCAAGACAGACGAGCACACGCATGTATTGGTGTTGACCTAAGAGATAAACAAAACCAATACAGACGTGTAAGCCAAACATACTTAGAACAAAGCATAGAATTTAGTGACAGTTGTTTCTACTGGGGATTAGAAGGTGGACTTCATACTATCAAGCTTCAGGTGCAGGTTTCAGATTTGTGTTAGAATTTGATTTGTTTTTGATTTAGCGCTGAGAAGGGAGTAGGACGGAGGTTTACGGTCCTCAGGGAGCAGAACGGAGGTCTACGGTTCCGAGTACAAAGGTGGGACTAGGGTGGAGGCCTACTGTCCCGAGGGAGTAGAACGGAGGTCTACGGTCCTGAGTGTAAAGGTAAGAGTAGGGTGGAGGCGTGATCTAACTTTTTTGTTGCGATAGATTGTGTAAAAGTGTAAAATTTAATGTGTAAAATTTAATTAAGTATAATCAATTAATATTTGGATTCTATGCAAGTATATGTATCGTTATCAAGTAATAATGAACTTTCTATTTAAGCCCCAAATATCAATCCAACTGGGAAGGTTTAAATTGGAAATGACAAAATTGCTAGGAAATTCATAGAAAGTCAATTGAAATCACTGTCACTAATTTCAATTGTTGAGATGCAATCAAAATTAAATTTCTAAACTATTATCAAAAGAAAAAATAGTAAATACTAATATATTAATTATGTTTATGTAACGGAGATTCTTATGTGAAAAAACATCCTTCCCACTATAATGAGGCTATGGTAAAATGAGATGAGATAAATGTTCATAATATGTATTATGTCAAATAGGAGCAATTTTAATTCTTTACCCTCATACAGTGCATAAAAAATCAGTGGCTAATCTCAGTGTTTAGTCCTAAATCCATGACTAGGCTAGGAGGATACCGGCTCCCACTCTAGAGCTCCCACTTCCCTTCACCTGAAGGCTAGCTCTCGCTTCAGTTTTTAAGCATTAAGAATGAATTACAGATTTTAGTCTCTCACCCTAAAGGTTCTCAAATTCTACACCCAACAAAGAATATTTTCCTATTTATTTACACTTAATTCCATAAACGATGTTCTCCTTCATGGAATCAAATGTGATCCTTATTTTTTTGTAGAATTCATACTCCATTTCCCAGATCACATGTATCACAATACACTTTAACAATTCAATTGGCCACAATTCAATTGGCCAAAAATTCGGAGTTGAAAAATCATCACAATTTATTTTACAATTTAATATTGGCACATTCATATTATCTCTTCAT